TTCAGTTAATAAATTACATTCAAAGTCTCCTTTCAAAAATTTGAGCTGGTATAAATGAAATATTTACTTTCTATTATCAAAATGTTACTGGTGAACTAATTTGTAACCGAAAAACCAAATTATGTCCGGGAAAGGTTTGAATATACTTCCTCATACAATTGAATGAGAAAATGCAAACTTTTCATGGTTAGTATTTAAGGTATGTGAAAATCATACGTAAAATATTACATGAAGGATAAAAGTGGATCATGGGGTTTAGCTTCCTCTGGATGTTCGATGCGACTTTTATAGTATCGTGGGTGGGTATCGGCAGCCTCCTCGTACACGGTACCTTAAAACGAAGCTGGATGAGTGTAACTGTCTCCCCAAATATAAGATTCAGACATCTTTCTTTTTTCAAGGATATGAGTGCTCTGGTGGAGGGCCGCATGCGCCACATCCCATTGGCACCTGGTTCGGACTGGAGAGACCTTCCCAACATTGAGGTGCGCCTGAAGGACGGCACCATGACCAAGAAGTTGCGCTACACACACCCGGACAAGAAGAATGGACGCAGCGGCACAGGAGCACTCCGAGGCGTCTGTACCTGTGCCGGAGGTGCGCACAGGCGCAAGTGGCTCTTTTAGGGAAGCACCAGAATGGTAACGTGTAGATTTTTTTTTTTTTTTCTCTTCTCAGGAAAGCCCTGTGATCCGGCTGACCGGCAGTTCAACACGCTGATTCCGTGGTGTCTGCCTCACACGGGAAACCGTCACAATCACTGGGCAGGACTTTACGGCAGGCTGGAATGGGACGGGTTCTTCAGCACCACTGTCACCAACCCTGAGCCCATGGGAAAACAGGTCCAAAAAAAAATTTTTTTTTTTTTAAATTAAATACCCAAACTGGTGCTGAGCAATAAATTGAAATAAAAAGGATCAAGAGGTGAAGGAAATAGTTATTCACAGTTTGAATAGATCGAAAATGCTCGAGATTTGCATATTGACCAAGGTCTTTTTTCCACAACGTGCAGAGATGAGTCGGCACGAGGCTGTGATAATAGTTTTGAGTAGTTGAGTATTGTATTGAGTGCGTGTGTAATTTTGAAATCAATGAATTTCGTCAATCATGATTTCATTTTCATTCAATATAATCGCCCAAACCCAAGCTTGATTACCGCCTTCATTTTATTTAAAAAAAAATTTGGGCCCTACTTTTTCTCCACTTATTTTATTTTTTTATTGCAGGGTCGCGTTCTGCACCCCGAACAGCACCGAGTGGTCAGCGTGAGGGAGTGCGCACGCTCTCAAGGTTTCCCCGATACGTACCGATTCTTCGGGAACATCCTGGACAAACACAGACAAGTGAGCAAATCACGCCAGCGTATTGAGCCACAAGATAGTTTGCGTTGATCCCTAATTTATTGTCGGTACTTGGCAGGTGGGCAACGCTGTGCCTCCACCCCTCTCCAGAGCCATCGGGCTGGAGATTAAGAAGTGTGTTATTGTTAGGATGAAGGAAGAACAGACAACAGGTGAGCATGCATCCAACGTCGGAAGTACTGAAGGGAACGTGGCTTGAGACTTAACGTGTCCTTTTGTGCTTTCCTCCAGAGAATGTCAAACAAGAGACGATGGAGGTGTCTGACTAGTTCGTGTCTTCTCCTGCCAGCAAAAGGTTTTCCATAGTGGATATGTTTGAATTCTGGGCTGGCACAAGTTTACTGACCAAAATTCTTTTTCAAGTGTGGTTTTAAACACCTGTTAACATGATGTGACAAATTGTTTGTAGTTTTTCTATGTAATATTTCAAATAAAGCTCTTATCGCATGGTTCGGGTTTGGATTTTATGACAATGGGGATCACTTAGGATGCAAATATTGGGTAATATTGTGTATGCCAGCACTCTCTTGCTCCTGGTAACGACGATATTTTTCCAAATATTGTCAGTTATTCATTTCAAGAACCGGTTTTGCTCCTGAACTGAAGACCTCATTAGCATGTTAAATGCATCACTGCAAAGTCTCTCCTTCCCCGTTGGCGTGATGCCCGCGCAGTCATGTCAAAGCTAAGGTAAGCGACGTGTCACCGAGTTAGCATTAGCTTCTGAGAAGTGCTACTTGATTGTGCTCAAACTGCCGACATGGTGTGGGTTATTTGTATCCATGCACCGTATAGTGTAAAGTAGCTGACTCTTGCATAACTTCTCCTTTTAAGAAAGAAAAGAGTGGCCAACAAAGTAACATTGATTCTCTTTATTATGGTCAACAGCCATGTTTTAGCAGAGTGAAAAAATCTGGCCATCTGATGGAATATTCTGAAGTTCTCAGTTGTTTGATGGTCTGCAAAGAGAAAAAAAACCAAGGTCAGTCTGTTCACTTTTGAACCTTTGACAAACATTAATAGCTGAGTCGACTTACTTGGCCCATTCAACATTGAGAATAAGATGATCGTATCCAAATCCTGACACCCCTGCAATGGCTCTGGCCGCATCCTCGCGACGATGGAAACTGATGAACGCGAAGCCCTGCGACCAATGCGCATGTTTGGTTTACGTGTTCTGCTGCGAATTTATGTGGCGAGTGTTTGACAGCTCACCTTGGACTGCCCGGTGTTCTTGTCTTTGGCCAGGTAGATTCTGGAGATGGAGCCGAAGGGTCTGAAGAGCTCCTGCAGGTCTGTCTCTCGTGTGTCCTCGGACAGGTTGGTGACACGGATGGTGGCGTTGTCGTCGGCTACGGGCGTGTTTTGGATTATTTACCTGCAGAATCCATGCGGACACGTGCGATTCTTTTCGGTTCCAATCTTGACCTCACCTCTGCGATTAGGCTGCATGGATTCGCCTCTGCGCGTGCCCCCATCCCTCAGGCTGGGTGGCACATACTTGCCAGTCTTGCTTTGTGCAGGCTGCACAGGCTCCGGCTCGGCTGATTTGACAAAATATTTTACAAAGTCATCATGAGATTTTTCAGTGCACTGAACCCCTCCACTATAATGCGGTTCACCTTTCACATTTGACAGTGCATTGTGGTCTCCATCCTGATTGGCTAAGGCACTGTTGACCAATGTTAACAGTCTCCTAGCTGTTAACTGTGTGTTGAGTGACTCTACTTGAATTCATGTTTATTTTCTTACCCTTTTTTTCCCCAATCATGCAATTGAAACTACTCCTTGACTGCTTGTGGGGTTATTAGAAATATTTCGGCACTGGTTATTCTGTTAATCATTGCAGCTCCACTTGTCAACATTTTTATATTGATGCCTGAATAAGATACCTTCCATACTTCCAATTTGAATTACTTCCAAATTGCCCCTATTTGACAATAAAGCTGACTTGAATGTATCTGAAATGTCCCAATGTTTGTGCAAGATGCCCTCTCAGTACCTGAACCGGCGGGCTTTTCCTTGTCTGAGGTGGACAAGCCGAGCTGCTCGGCGAGCTCCTTCTGCATGGGGCCCAGGGTGTCCTTGTAGGGACAGCGGGTAGTCCAGTGGTCGCCTTTGCAGATACGACAAGACACGATCTTCTGTCCTTTCAGCTTGTTCATGGGGTCCTCATCCTGGTCTTGGGCATTCAGATCCTGGAGGAAAATATGAGGAAGTACTCGTCAGAGCCGTTCCACCGAGTTTCCTCAGAGCGAGAGACGGTCCTCACTTCTTTGCTGGAGATAAACGTCATGAAGACGTCGTCGCTGACGGTGGTAGTGGCCACATTCGGACCCGCGGCGTCGAACTCAGAGTTGCCGAATTTCTTCCAGTTCTGGAGGTGAGAGGGAAGTTTAGAAGAAGTCACCTGTGCTTCATTTCCACTTCACTATAATTCAAAAGCCCACCTTCCTCCTTGCCACCGCTTTGGAAGCTTTCCTGGTCTCGATCTTGAACGTCCGCACAATCTACAAACAAATTACGTTCATGTCACTTTTGGTTGAGCGGCGCTGAAAGACAAATCCGAATTACCTTCAACTTCTTTCCATCGTCGTCGATTTTATACTCTGTAATAGTTTTGATGTTTCCTTTGATGGTTTCTTTGGGGGGTGGAAGCGTTCCTGACAAAAAGACAAATGTCAGTCTGACATTACTTTTATTTATGGTTTAAACCATACATATACCACAAATTATGATCCAAAAACTATTTCGTAGCATTGAATACTATTGAGTGGATGCTGGCCGGTTAGCTTCCTCCTAGCCTACATTACGTCACAAGCATATGTCACCGATTTTTCCTGCTCCTCTACTGGCGTCAAATGTGCCACTTTCACGAGTAAAAACTTTCCCCCCGGGGTGTAAACCACTTTCTCCCGGGGGGGGGGAAAAAAAAGTGTGCACGCATAGCTTAGCGTCAAGCACGTGGAGACGCCAAGCTGGCCTCGTTCAGTCAGCACAGTTCCGACTATGCGTGCTACCATGCTAACGGTGCGAGCGAGCGCGCTTTACCTTCATCTACTTCCTCTTCGACTTGGTCGGCCCAGCTGGGCTTGGAACTGAGGGGGAAATGGAAGTATGTTATTGGGGTGGGAAAGACAGAAATTTGACGTTTCTAGAAGAAAACACTCACTCGTCGTATTCAATCGACGGCATCCCGAGCGATCGGCTAGCTTAGCTTCAGCACCGCAAAGACCGGAAAAGCGCGAGGCAGACTGTTACATCCCTTCCGGTAGATGAAATTCAGAATAAAAGCTCTTCGGTACGACGGTGTTACGTTCCGATGGCGGCGGGGTAACGCGAACGTACACGCTGGAGCCAATGCTCGGCTAATGCAGCAGTAAAGCCAACCAATAATATAAAACAAGCAAATGAAAAACTATTAAGGGGGGAACTGTGTTGTTGTTCCACGTCACGAATCGCGTACCACTGAGAAAACTAGTTCACAGGGCGTTGTTCAAAGCTCTTAACCTCAAAACGTCGTAGGTCGAGACCCCAGTCGCTCAAACGTGTCATTTCATTGAATTTGAGTAATAACATATTGTGCAGTCTTTAACAGAAGCACACAACGGTGAAATAATTTGAAACAAAGGACCCACATTGAGTTAATAATAATTTCAACAATTTATTAGAAATAAAAATTTCCATAAATGTACAGCATCAAACAAAATGCAATAAACTCAATCTTGCTTTGCTTTTCTCCGACAGTCAGTCAGCATAGCAGTTCAAAAGTGCTCAACCTTTTTTCTTCTTGTGTTTGGAGCTTTGCTTTGCACCTCGGTCACTTTTCTTGTTCGCGGTCGCTTTGCTCTTCTGACTGTTGCGCTGGAACGCTTGGCCTTTGTTTAGCTTTCCGCTAAAAGTTCTCTTGTTGTCTCCCCGTTTTTTCTTGCTGCCAAATCTATTTTCTCCACCCTGCTGCTGCTTTTTGAATGGCTTTCCTCCAGGTGACGGCTTCTCTCCAAATGTTTTCTTTCCAAAGGGTTTCTTCTGCCGTTCGCCAAATTTCTTTGCTGCTTTATCCTTATGTCCTCCTGGGACACTTCTTCTAATGCCTTTATCTTGGCCGAACGTTTTATTGGCAGAGAGCTTCCTCATCTTTTTGGCAGGTCCTTGAGGTCCGTCTTTGCTTCTCCTCCTCTTGGCTCCGGGGAACATATCTGAAGATGCAGAGTTTGGTGAGATGACTCTTCAAAAGAGAGCGCACATTCTTGTACGATGATTACTAACCTTCATCTGGCTCCTCTCCAACAGCCTGCCGATAGTACTCGGCCTCGTCGTCCGACTCCGCGGCCGCCGCTCGCTCATCCTGCGTGCCAGGATCCTCCACCTCGCTGTCCTTGTCATCTCCTTCGCTCTTGATGCCTGCTAGGCACTTCTTCCTGTTTGCAGGTAACGTTCAAAAAGCAGGGTAAACACAGTGAAACCAGGCCAATATTTTTTTTTCACCCCAAGTTTAGCGATTTCAACAACAATGATGTCACCGCAAAAAAACAAAACAAAAAAAAAAAACAGTGGCCAAGATTAGTCTCCTTGCGAAATCTTGTGGCAGATTCCCAGCACGCTGCACGAGACACCTGATTCTGGGAGGGTAGAGTACCAATTCCCGACATAACGTACTTGTGCGCCTCCTTTTTCAGTTTCTTCTGAGCGACGTTCAGCTCCTGCTTCTTCCGGCGCTCCTGTTTGTTCTTCAACTCATCCTCCTTCCTCTGCAGGATCTCCTGGATCTCCTCTTCCGTCTTGAAGACTGCGAGCAGAATTTCACTTGAAATAGGTACGTTCCCCCGGCTCCGCCCCCACATGAAATATCTCGGAAGTGCATCAGTAAGCGTTTACTTGTCGAGAAATCACAGGTTTCATACAGACGTTGTCATCCTCCGCACCAAAACTAGCAGACGGGCCAAGACGGCCGATGGCACTTACTGGTGGCGTGGTACATGATGTTCCCGCTCGATATTCCGTCTTGTATCTTGATCAGCTGCAGGGTCATGCGAGGCCCGATCTGCGCGCACAAAAGCTCGGGGATTAGACA